CAGTGACTGTAACATCGAGCATATTTTGCAGTATTAAACACGTATTTATACCGATTTCATCAGGCTCCGAAAATTCTTCAAAAAGAACACAAAGAATGGCCTTCTCAGCTGCCATAGTTGCAACTCTTGCGTCATCAGAACAGAGTGTTCAACACACCACCGTTTCCGTTTAAAAAACGTTTTGCACCGTTTTGTCGGGGCTGAACGCAGCCCAGTTCGAACGCCATTTAAAACAACCACTTGGTGTCACTAGTGGCGCAGAAATTACTCACTTCACCTTCAAAAAACAAACAAAAAAAAACAACATAATTGTTAAAATAAATTGTTAAAAGTGCTTAAAGTCTGATGTACATAACAAAGCAAGGACAAGTATTCCACTTGCATTATACATTGTGCATGGATGACATTAAATTTAAAGCAGTCTTTAGCAAATCTCCTGTTAATTTCAGTAGGCCTAAAATCCCACCTTTCCTGTGGTCCTGCAATGTCAGTTTTTTTTTTTTGTTTGTTTTAATCCAGCTCTAGGTGTGGATTATCACTGAGAAGAAAGTTATTCCTTTACACCTTTTACGCATTATACATTGTGCATGGATGACATTAAATTTAAAGCAGTCTTTAGCAAATCTCCTGTTAATTTCAGTAGGCCTAAAATCCCACCTTTCCTGTGGTCCTGCAATGTCAGTTTTTTTTTTTTGTTTGTTTTAATCCAGCTCTAGGTGTGGATTATCACTGAGAAGAAGGTTATTCATTTACACCTTTTACACTGGTAATTATCCTCATTAAATCGAACCGGATTCATTCTCCTGATGTACAGCCAAGCCATTTGAGGAGATAAAAAATTAATTAGAAATAGCGACAGAAAGCAGATTATGTTTGATGAATCTCAATGAAAAGAAAAGCTGAGCTAGACATTTTCTGTTAGCACAACCAAAAGGAAAATCTTAGATTGCTGGTTATAGGCTTATCATCCGGTGTTTGTTTGTGCGTGTGTGGATTGATGAGGTCTGTGCTTTATTTGGAATAAACTCTAACATGATTTATGGTTCTGCACTTAATCTATAGTAAAGACACATTCATTGTTCAGAGAATGTGAAGTGGTTTTGCCCTTAAACTGATTATAGGAAAATCTTTCTATCATAGATCACCGTGTGTATGTTTAGACATACATTGTTTTTGTGTGGTCTGTTTAAAATCCAGATGTATGACAATGATTATGTATTTCTTGACTCCTTTGTTGTACTTTAAAAACATACAGTGGAGTCCTGCTTCAAATCACTGCTCACCTGCGGATGACCTCTAGAATGAGATCTCTACCTCTGGAACAGCACTGACTCTCTGCCAATCATCTGTGTGGTAATTGAACTCAGAGGTTCAAAAAGCTGGCACTAAATGGAGGTCGGTAATATTAGGTAATTGGTTCTGAGGTGTAAGGGATGGAAATAGTCTTGATTACATTAAGGGCTTAATGGCTCCCAATGTGTCACTCAGTCAAAAGTCGGCAAGCAGGTGCACTTGAAGAAGATCCACCACTTACAGTTTTGCTCACTGGTTATCACCAAGGACAACTCGATTATGAATTCATACATGGTGGATCTCAAATAAAGAAAGGGAAATTAAAATTTAGCAAGTATCATGAATTATTTCAGAGACACTTGGGCTAGATTAAAAATAAGAAGAGTGTGGATGAATAGTTCCAGTCAAAACATTCGCACACTGTCCCAGCAGAAGGGCTAAGGGATTTTAAGAGATTAAACTTTAAATCTGGAAAGCAATTTCTTTTTCATGAGGCAAGAATCAAGACAGATGGTCATTTTGTTTTTGGAAATTCACATTCTCCTTTTTTTCTTGCATGTTCTTATTTCTTAAATGTCTGTCAGCTCAAAGAATCACTCACAGCACAGGTGGTTTTGTCATCTATTTATTATTCCCTTTTATTTGTTTTTAATTATATTTTATTATTATTATTTATTTTTTGATTTTTTTACAACTTTTTATTGTTGATTTTATTTCTTATTGATGGTATAATTATTTTATGATTATTTTAAAATCCTTTTTATATTAAGCACATCGAATTAACATTGTGTATGAAATGTGCTTGATAAATAATAATATTAATAATAATAATTATTATTATTATTGTTATTTTCAAACTCAATCATTTATTTTTAGTGCATAATTGTATTTTTGCTTTAGGTATTTATTTTTGGACTTATTCATCTCAGACTTGACCAGAGTTCACTAAACAGAATGATGTCAAAAAAAATTGGGCAACTCTAGAAGGTAAATAAAATAAAAAAATGCTATACATTAATGCCAGAGTCTTGGTATGGAAAACGAAAACACATGAAACCTGCTGTTTCTATTTGAAAGCCAATATTTTCTTTACTTGAGAGTCTAGTCCACTAATATATCATAATGTGTTTCATAAGAGTATAATAAGAGTACTCATAATACTCATAAGAGTATTAAACCTCATAATGCATAATTTGAAATTTTGCCCCCCAAAATCATTAGTTATTCAAACTACTTTTCATAGCAAAACCTTAACCAGTGCAAAAATACACATTTAATTACAATTCAACAAATGTGCATTTAGCTCACAGAATCAAAAACAGTAAAGGAATAGAAATTAAAATAGATCACATGAAAATAAACGAAAATAAAAGAAAAAGACAATACCCCCCACTCACAAATAAAACAATTCAATGCGACTCGTGAAATCCAGAAATGTCTTAATCTGACTAAATGTATTTATTTATTACATTGACATTTTTATTTATTACATTGGCATTTATAAAATGTTCTTCCGTTTCTAACATGAAATGATCGAATCTAGTCAAGTCAAGATACTTAAAAGCAGGGGTGCCCAAACTCGGTCCTGGAGGGCCAGTGTCCTGCAGAGTTTAGCTCCAGCTTGCCTCAACACACCTGCCTAGAAGTTTCTAGTATGCCTAATAAGAGCTTGATTAGCTGCTTCAGGTGTGTTTAATTAGGGTTGGAGCTAAACTCTGCAGGACACCGGCCCTCCAGGACCGAGTTTGGGCACCCCTGCTTAAAAGTATCCCAGAAAAAATATAAAAAATATCAAAATGTAGTTTGTTTTATGTTTGAGCCAGACTATCTCACCCATGCGTTGCGTGACGTCGCCGGTCACATGGCGAGCGTCAGCTGTGTTGCAGGAAGTGAAGCAGTCATGGCGACGCCTGTAGCGTTACTCTCTGAACCTGTGCTCGGATGGTCTATTTTCACTATTGTTTTACTGGTGAGATACATGAATTATCCATTAGAACTTGTATTTACTAGTATTACGTTGTTAGACGCGGTATTCCCGCGTATATTCCGTCACGTGTTATCCTGCTCGAAATGTATCTTTGTACTAGTAACATATAGCACACAATAGACCTATCTAACTATTTTGGTTATATACGTAATATCATAAACCTGTTGATGTTTACAGTTACGGTATATTTATAGACTTTTACTGAATTGTCACACTGAACTGTTTTACTAAAGTACGAAGAAATAGACCCTCAAATTTCAATAATATCGTGCAGTTTAGATTCAAGTACAAGTGCATGTAAGCAAATGTATTATTTAATTTTATTGCCATAATTATATGGGTCACAAATATCTAAGCCACAAGTGATTGTTTGCATGGTTCATAGATATAGACATATTTCAGATATGAAGGTATTAATATACATTGATAAGTAATTGTAGGTTGATTCCCCCCAAAAATAGAAACACAGCAACTCTGGTACTGTTATTAATAGCTTTGTTTGTTTGAGGCGGGACTATCTGTTTGGTGACCAATGGCTGATGAGGGGAGTGTTCAGGAAATGTTATTATTTTATGTTCAACACATAAACCTGTTGATGTTTACAGTTACGGTATATTTATAGACTTTTACTGAATTGTCACACTGAACTGTTTTACTAAAGTACGAAGAAATAGACCCTCAAATTTCAATAATATCGTGCAGTGTTCAGGAAATGTTATTATTTTTGCAAGATATACATCACCTTTAAATATGTCATTTGTTTTTATTCTACCTGGTCGAGGTGTTTAATTGAAGTGCCGCCAGAGTCTTAATCTTCTAATTAAAGTGCATCCTGCTCAAGTTTAACAAGTGCAAAGAGAGCAGTATTTCCTGTTATATAATCGGTTCGGCGCATCCTGATTTAAATGCAGAGCATTGGGTCATTATCTGACCAACAATTCAGGCAGAATCTAATACGCACAGGGCTCTTAATTGATCCTGTCTGAAAACAGCATCCCGTAATCACAAGATCATTTTAGCTGCGTCCTGAGAGCTTCTAGAGGATGTGTTTGGAATACGACCTTTCACTCTGAAACAAGTTCCTCTTTAAAGTTGGACTCTTATTAGTTTTTTTGTTTTGTTTTTAATGAGATACAACGTAATGCTTTTCAGAGACAACTGTCTCAGAGGCTTCTAAATCTGTAGGCAGGTCTTTCCTCTTCTTTCTAACAGAGGAACTATTGGCTGCTAGATCAGAAGTGCAATACAGAATCTTAATAGCACTTGTATGGCCTTTAAAGTATGAAAAGGCCAGCTGTATGATATAAGTATAACACACATCGGTTTGACACCAGCGAGATTTAGGCCTGTTAAAATAGTGTCACACAACTTTAACACAATTATTACAAATGATCACAAATATCAGGCCTCTTGTACATTTTCTTTGTAACACTTAAAAAAAGCCAGCTTTTGTTTTTGTATGTTTGTGATTATGAACAGGGCTTGATATATGGGTTGGTGGTGATTTACTTTTGAATTTTATTTGGTTACTTTTTGTGAAATTTGTATGATTATAAAAATGGTAATGGTAAAATGTGTTTTATTTTTATTTTTATGATATACATGTGAATGACAAATGTATGACTAGCTGATATCTCTAATATTCGTACCTGGTTTTGTTTTTAATGAGATACAACGTAATGCTTTTCAGAGACAACTGTCTCAGAGGCTTCTAAATCTGTAGGCAGGTCTTTCCTCTTCTTTCTAACAGAGGAACTATTGGCTGCTAGATCAGAAGTGCAATACAGAATCTTAATAGCACTTGTATGGCCTTTAAAGTATGAAAAGGCCAGCTGTATGATATAAGTATAACACACATCGGTTTGACACCAGCGAGATTTAGGCCTGTTAAAATAGTGTCACACAACTTTAACACAATTATTACAAATGATCACAAATATCAGGCCTCTTGTACATTTTCTTTGTAACACTTAAAAAAAGCCAGCTTTTGTTTTTGTATGTTTGTGATTATGAACAGGGCTTGATATATGGGTTGGTGGTGATTTACTTTTGAATTTTATTTGGTTACTTTTTGTGAAATTTGTATGATTATAAAAATGGTAATGGTAAAATGTGTTTTATTTTTATTTTTATGATATACATGTGAATGACAAATGTATGACTAGCTGATATCTCTAATATTCGTACCTGCATTCTGGTCCAAACATAATCAAATAAATAAATGAATAAATAAAATTAGTTTTTGATTTGTACATAGACAGAATTAATGTTTGTATACAAAACTAATTTTAAGCATTTAATCCAAAGCCTTTAGGTTCAGAAATCATGAGACTAATTTAAATTGATTATTTTGATGCAAATCTCAGTGTCCCCTGTATCTTCAGGTCATCTTGGCCTTCTGCTGGGTTTATATTCGGAAATATCAGAGCCGGCAGGAGAGCGAGGTTATCTCCACCATCACTGCGATATGCGCTCTGGCCATTGCGCTCATCACATCAGCCCTTCTTCCTGTTGATATCTTCCTAGTGTCCTTCATGAAGTACCCCAATGGCACTTACAAGGTAACCATATTCCTGTACAGAAAGGTTGTTCGTTGTTCAAACTCAGATCTGTGCTTGATTCAACCCTGAAGCTCCATTATCCAAATTCTTGATCCATTGTTAATTTTTTCATTGTTCATAAGCTAAGTAATTATAAGAGACTAAGAGCTCTTCACAATAAGTGATTTGGATGTCTGTAATGAGTCTTATTGCTATTAGTAGTTTACTCTCACCACTTGTGAAAACAATGGCATTTCTTTCCTAAAACATCCCATTATTCAATCAAACGCAATAAGAAGAGAGATCAATACGTCAGGTTTGAGTTCACAGATTGAATTGAGCACGTCTGTCTTTTACTTTGAGACTCAAATGGTCTAATGAGACAGTGGTTACTATGGCAACTGAATGGCATAATTAATGAGACCACGGGCCCACCATTCTTCCTTATGGATAATGAATAATTAAGCGTAGAATTACCTCCTCTGACATGAGATCTTTAATGATTGCTTCACTTAGAACTTCCGTGTAACTTGGTTCCTGCATACAATGAAAGCACATTATGACCTGAGCCTATCAATTTGTAAAATGGAAAAAGTACCCTTACCAAAAGTAATTTAGACAACTTTTGCAAGTGTTCTGAAGTCAAATGGCAGACTGAAATTTAAGCTGTTATTCACTGTTAATTTGGCACTTTTCTGTAGCTCTCAAATCTAATTTGAACTGCCACATATTCAGACTCGTTTGCAATATATTAGAACTAAAGGCAATTTGAAAATGTGCACAAATGAGATACTCTAGTTACGACGAAACTTAAACAATTCTGTAGTATGGATCCATATAGATGTCGTAAGATGCCTTTTTTCAATCTGGATCACAACAGTGTCTGCCTTTCATTTACTTTTTGAATAGGAAAAGCACCTCTGCATAATCTCTTCTCTAAAATGAAAATCATAGGGGTTTACAACAACTTGAGGTTGAAGAAATGAATACAGTATTTTAATTTTTGCACTAACTGTGGCCTGATACTTTTAATTCCGGTATTTGTATTCGATTACATTACGGTACTATGAATGTACGGAGGTCTTTGCAAAACACATGGATTGTTGTGTAGATTTGGGTGAGATATGAGGTTATTTCCATTGTTTAATAGTCAAACATGTTTTGACTATCAACAGTTGTCCGCAGATACGGTTGATCTATAAATAAATACATTAGAAATATCACAGAACACACCAGCAGTATATTCACCAGGCAGTGTAAATCACTACTCAAGTGTGTATTGTCCAGAATAAATTGAGATTGCTGGCCTGGTTTTCATTTGAGATAGTGATCAGCCCTAGGATTGTTAAAAAGGGCTTGTAGAGGTCAAGACTAGATATAACTTTATAAGAATTAGATGGGATTCATTACTGGTTTCATTTCGTTAATTGGAAGTTGAGGGTTTTGAAGTGTTCTGAAGAAGACAGACTTGCTCGATCATATCAGAGATCATCTGACTAGGCAGAGGAGGTTAACCTAAAGAGATTCTCAGTGACTCTGTCGGGTTAATTGGATCTCTGATGAAGCTGCTGATCTTTCTGTACCACCCTTCCTTAAAACACTTTAAAATTCATAGATTATCTTGAGTCACAGAGCACTGTAGTGTAATGTAGTGAATAGATCAGCACTATACACAGAGGTCATGTGAATTGGAGTGAAGCAGAGACTGTTTTATTCTTACCTTTATAATCTGAAAAGTCCATTCAGAAAAAAAACCTGATAGTACTTGATAATACCAAAATGTGCAATACTAGAGCCGTTTTGTAAACAGATCACACGTTTCATTCTTACAATCAATGACAGCGCGAATATGCAAGTACCGTTAGGAATGTACTGTACAGTAAGAAACGTCAATTTTTGAATACCCCGGATTAATTAATTGTTGTTAATTGTTATGCGTAGTGTGAAATATAAATCAAGATAATCCAGGCATAAAAAATGCCTAGGGTTAATTATTTCAAGTTTTAAAAACCCTATATAGCAGTTTAAAAAATCTATAATTATTAGGTTTATTAGTGGGGTTTACTAAGGTAAACTATTGCTCATGTAGATTTTTACAAGTATTAAACATTTGTGCAACGAATATAAATACTATCTCAAATTGTGCAACTTGTGAGTACAGTTGTGTTTTTATTTATGTAAGTAAGACCTAATGTGGGGTTAAAATTGTTGCATGTTTCCAGATAATTAAATTGATTTTGAGCCACAAATAAACATAAAGAGAATCACAAATATTAAATATATTAAAATGTATAAAAGAATAAAAAATAAGATATTCAAATAAATCCACAAATATGTTTTTATGTCGCAAACACAACTTTGCCTGAATACACTCTTTCTATTTGTGGATCTCATTCTATTTATTTGTGAATTTGTTTAATATTTGTGAATCTCTTTACATTTATTTGCGGCTCAAAATCTATTCATCTGGAAACTTGCGACAATTCTTACCCTTACCCGAGCTATACAGGCCAAGAATATCCCAGAAATGCAAAGTTTTGCTATCGACTTGTATAAAACTCGTTTGCCCTTGTTATAGAGTGCAGAACAGTATTTATTCTAACTGTTCTAGGAAGATTACAGCAGATTCTGATGAAATACGCTCACCCAAATGGGTGGGAAAATGTCGTTTGATAATCGTTCTGAAGCTCGCTGTGATTCACGACACATAATAAATCAGGCAGACAGGTGCTTTTTGTTGTAGGAGGTTGAGATGGAAGGAGCCATCAAGTCTTGGATAAACACGTAAGATTATGGCAGCGATCTCCTTGGCTCCGGCCTTCCGGTAATCCGTTTTTCTGATGTGACGATCAAATGTATCTCTTCCTCCAGTCGAGTAAGCTGGCTTAATGGGTAGAGGAACCTTCCCGACTAAACATCTTCTTAATGCAGCCTGTGCACGTAGGACTCTGTAGGTTTATTTCTGTTTCTCTGCCCTAAAGAGATTACGGCAATGATTGACAGGCCTGGGTTTGGCTAATGAGGATGCACTCTCAAATGCTAAACTTGTCGCAGTGCTAGAGTTTTCTTGATAAATTGTTGTTAAATCAGGCTTGTTTTGTTCCGCAGATCTTTGTTATTCTGTGGGTGTTCTTTAGAAACCCACAAAGCTGATATGCTTAAACCAGGAGACAGATTTGTGGCACCTACAGAGGCCTCAAGAAGTATTTGGACATTTAAAAGATCCCAGTTTTGTTTAGTGTGTTGACTAATTTTCTAGTGAGATACTGTCCCCTTTCTCCCTTTTTTCTTTTTTGAATAGCCAGTATCCTTCTATAAAGGAAGCATATTGGACTTGGGATTTATTTTAAAGGCTTTATTATAAATAAATAAACTAATATAATTTTTAAACTTCGTGTTACTGTATGTAACATTATCTGGTCATTTGTTATCTGATGCAGTGACAATTTTTAGCCACACTACCAATTTAAAAGTTTGTGGTCAGAAAGATTTTTTTTTTTTGAAAGAAATTAAATGTGTTTATGCGTTTTAAAGTAAAAAAACACATTATTTTCCACATACTGTACATTATTGTTTCTCCTCTATGCCCCGCCT